CTCTTTTCACTTTGCTGGAGCTCACACTTTGCTTGAGGAGGCTTGAGTTCAATCCCCAGCACCATATAATTCCCAAGGTGTGTGTTTTATCCCCAGTACCACAGGTCCCCCAAGCACTGAGCTGGGGGTAGTCTCTTGGCACCGCTGAGTATGACTCCAACAAAAACAAACAAAAAAACAAAGAGAAGCTCACAGATGCTCTGTCCAGATGCTCTGGAGTGGCCCCTGAGCACCTCTAGGTGTAGCCCCCAAATAATCATTGTTTTGTTTTTTTGGGGGGTCATACCCAGCAGTGCTCAGGGTTTACTCCTGACCCTTTTTCCAGGGCTAGGGATCAAACCCAGACATCTGCATGTAAGGCAAGCACCTTACCTGTTATATTATCTCTCTGGCCTCTTCTTATTTATTTCTTGTCTTTTTGCTTGTCAAGGAAGCTTTTTTGAGGCCCTTAGTCCATTTAGTGTATCCCAGCTGCCTAGCATCTGATAAATGTATCATAAAGGCTCAGTAAATCTTGGCTGAAAGAATGTACTAGTTCAGGCCAGGGCAATGGCTCAGAGGGCTTGTGCACATGGTTTGCATGTAGGGGTGTGTGTTTTATCCCCAGTACCACAGGTCCCCCAAGCACTGAGCTGGGGGTAGTCTCTTGGCACCGCTGAGTATGACTCCAACAAAAACAAACAAAAAAACAAAGAGAAGCTCACAGATGCTCTGTGTTCTGGTCCCCTGTCACAAAACCTGAACTGGCTGTGGAAGAGCAAGAGCAGGAGACATGCTGAGGGGTACTGAAGGGGAAGGAGACGCAGTAGCCACGTCCTGGGAGGATCTTAGAGCAAGTACAGGCCCTTGACCATGAGAGGGAAGTCGGGTGGGGAAATGCGCCATGAAAGGGAGAGTGCTGTGGTTTGTGGTTCGTGGCTGTTGGCCCCCACTGTACCAGGTAGAATTCGGGGTTTGGCACCTGTAGTCTGGCATGGGATTACCACCAGGTCCTGCCTGCCGTCCTCTGAATGGCCTTCATAATGGGGAGAGGTTGAATAACCCTGAGAGCCCACAGACGTTGTTTAGCCGGTTACTGCCTTTTGATTCCTCCTTTGATGGGCCTTAATTAATTTAATCCTCACAGTGACTCTTTGAAGTACTACTATCGCTCCATCTTAAGAGCTGAAAAAAACTGAGTGGTGAAGTCACTTGCCCAAGGGCACAGGGCTGTTTTAAAAAACTCAATTACTGACTTACTATAGAAGTATATACTGCACCAGGGAGATAGCTCACAGGGCCGGAGCATGTGCTTTGCATGTGGGAGCCCTGCGTTCGATCCTTGGCCTCACGTGGTCCCCAGAGCGCTCCTGTGAGTGGCCCAAAATTAAGCAAGCTGGAGAGATAGGTCAGACGGCCAAGCACATGCATCGTGTGGGCCCAGGTTCAATCCCTGGCATCACCTGGGCCCCTGAGTATCATCAGGTATGATTTCAAGGCTACCATCCTAGTGCTCTGAGGACCTGGCAGTGCTGGGGACTGAACCTGGCCTCCTGCATACAGAGCACACATGCACCTCGCTGAGATTCCTACAGCTCCCTCAGTAAGCATTTTGGAGAGAGTGAGTTTGGGCTTCTCAGGCAGTTGTGGAGTACAAGCCAGGCTGTGACTCCAGAGCACCCACAGTAACTGCAGTGCCGACTAAAAGGAAAAAGCTGCTGCAGCAGCAGTTGTGGGAGTCCCAGTGTAAAACCTGCTCTGAAAGCAGAGAAGAGAGGGTAGGGACGGCTCTAGGACAAAGACAGCATCAGAAATTGGGCCTCTCCCAGGTGAAGAAGTGGGCACAGGCAGCATACACTGCAGAAGTAAAATATAGTCAGAGACTTGAAAGAGTTGCCGGGATGGGAAACACGGTTAGGATAGGAGTGTCGGGCTTCTGGGCACCTTAAGGCATCCTTGTAATGTGGAGGCAGTGAAGGTTCCTTAGAGGGCTTGGGGGTCCAGGGAGATAGTACAGTGATTAAGGCATTTGCCTTGAGTGCAGCTGACCAAGGTTTGATCTCCGAAACCTTGTATGTTCTGTGAGTGCCCCCAGAAGTGATATCTGATGGCAGAGGAAGGAGTATGCCCCTGAGCAAAACTTTATTTATTTATTTATTTATTTATTTTATTGAGTCACTGTGAGGACAGTTACAAAGCTTTCATGTTCAAGTCTCGGTCATACAATGATCAAACACCCAGCCCTTCGCCAGTGCCCATTTTCCACCACTAAAAACCCCAGTATACCCACCATCCCAACCCTACCCCTGTCTTGTGACAGATAATTTCCACATTACTCTCTCTCTACTTTGATGACATTCACTATTTCAATACCAGTCCCACCATTATTATTTGGAAATTTCTCCCAATGCACAGACCTGCTGAAAAGGCAATGCTAAACAATTTGTTTTGTATTTCTGGTTATGAATAGCATATGATGTCACGCGACTGCTCTTGCAGTCTTGGAATTCTAAAATTTTAATAATTAGGGTCTGGAGTAATCTCTGCCAAGAGTGGCTTGGTTCCGAGAGATTCGTTTGTGTGTCTCTGGGATCATGGCTGCTGAGGAGCTTAATAAGTGACACAGGGCTGTTTGTAGGTATCGTCTCAGGGTCCCGTCAGGGTGGGGGCTGGAGAAGGGCCAGATCCTCCCCTATCCTGTGAGGCCTGGCGTTTGCCATCACTGCTGCCCCATACCTGCGTTTTCCATTGAGCTCTGGAAGATGGCGACCACTGGGATTCCTGGTGAACAGGCGGAGGCACAGCACCTGCTCCCGTCTGGAGTGATTCAGTGAATGTGGCCTAATGCAAAGTTCAGAGGCATTTCTGCCAAGATCCCCAAAAACTTTAAAAAAAAAATCACATTCTTTTCATGTCTCTTTTTTTTTTTTTGAGGGGGTGAGGGTTAGGAACTATACCCAGTAATGCTGGAGAGAGACCATATGGTACTGGGGATTGAACCCAAGATTCCTACATTCAAAGCATGAGCTCAACCCTTTGAGCTATCTCCCCAGCCAGTCCCTTCAAGTTTTTTGAGGGGATTTGTGGTTTCAGCATTCAGCAGTGCTCAGGGTTTACTTCTAACTCTGCTAAGAGATCATTTCTGGTGGAGCTCACTGGACTCTGGGGCAGGGATTGGAACCCGGAACCTGAGTTGACCACATGCAAAGAAAGTGCCCTACCTGCTGAACCTCTGGCCTCCTTAAAGATTTTAAAGTAGGAAATCGGACTGAAGCGATAGCACAGCAGGTAAGGCATTTGCCTTACATGCGGCCGACCCGGGTTTGATTCTCAGCATCCCATATGGTCCCCTGGGCACTGCCAGGAGTAATTCCTGAGTACAGAGCCAGGAGTTAGCCCTGTGCATCGCCGGGTGTGACCCAAAATGCAAAAAAAATAGTAGGAAATCATTTGACCAGTCTTTACCAAAAATATATATAATAAAAATACATCAATTTTAGAATTTATATATTAGATTTTTATTTATATAAAATTCTTATATAAAAATTCAAAAAAACAGTGGCTTAAGGATGACTGCCAGCTCTTTACTTGAGAGTGCCTCCTTGTGATGCCAGGGATCAAACAGGATCAGCTGTGTGCCAGGCAAGCACCTTAACCCTAGTGCTGTCTCTTTGACCATACCACTCTCAAGATTCATTTGAAATGGGATGGAAGAACAGAGACACAACAAGTGTCCCTTCTTTTCAGAACTCAGGGTCTCTGTTAGATAGTCCTAGCTCTTGGTACTTTCCGTGTAGCTGCCATTGTTCGATTGGTTAGAGTTGGCCCTATCTTGGGGCAACTCCAGCTGCCTTGGAAAGGAAAGCCTGAGCATCTCCAGGGACTGGACAGCCTCGTGTGCTCCTCAGAGAGCTTGGTAGATGAAGGGCAGGTTGGTGCTGTCTGGATTGAATCCTTGAGAACAAAGAATAGCCAGTGCCTAGCAATGGGTTTTTGTTCTGGGGCAGTGCCCAGGGCTTAATCCTGGCTCTCACCTCAGGGATCACTCCTGGTATGCTTGGAGAAATCATATGTGGTGCTGTGGCTCAGACCAGGGTGAGCTATATGCAAAGCAAGCACCTAAACCTTTGTACTATCTCTCTGGCCACAGAATTTTGTATTCTGGGCTAAACTTTGGAGATTTCTCTCAACCGATGATGATTATCTAATCCGATCAGCAACTGTATGAGATAACTGTTATTATCTCTACAGTTTGAGGAAGCTAAACTGAGACCTAGAGGCGTAGAGCTGGTGATTATCAGTACTGCTATTCTGGGGCCAGAGAGGCAGGCAGCTCTGCAGGCCAAAGCGCATGCTTCGCATGCAGGAGGCCCAGTTCAGTCCTTAGCTATGGGTCACCCCGGCACAAAAACGGAGCAGCCCCTGAGCACACTGTGGTGCCCGCCACCCTTCCCCTCTCCCCTCGCCCCACATACCCACACACACCAAAAAAAAAAAGCATGTGTGATGGGAATCCGGGCTCTGCCACATGCTAGTGCTATGAATTTGGGAAAGGGACTTCCCCTCTGCAACTCGGTCTCTCCACCCATAAAGAGTTATTGCTGAACTGTTCTGATCAAGGATCTGCACTGAGCATTCCCCCAATGCTTCCCTTCCCTCTCCTAAGGTCAGACCTTAAGTAAGGAGAAAGCTAAATTCAAGTTCAGGTCTCTAACTCCCCAGATCCACACCTCAGCTTCCTTTTGTTCAGCTGCTTTTGTTCAAGAAGCAAAAGCTTTGTACTGTATCCTTCTCAGAAGTGCTGAGACTGGAGGCCCTTGGCTGAGTCTGAGTAGGCCTGCATCCTCCAGAGTCTAGGAGTCACCCTCTGACCTACTGTGGGCCGATCCTCCAACTCTAGCCAGGGTCTCATGGCCACTGACAGACTCTGGTATTAGGGGCTCCAGCAGAATCGTGGTGATGCCTTCTGTCTTCCTGCCAACCCCCCCTTTTTTTTCTCCCCATTCTTCCTCTTTCCCTAGTGAGAAGAAGCGCAAGCCTGCATGGACTGACCGCATCCTGTGGAGGCTGAGGCGGAAACCCCAGGATGATCCCCACATTCCTAGGCTGCTGGCCCCCTACTTCTCCCTGTCTCAGAGGAGCTACGTCAGCCACATGATGTACAACATCAGCGACCATAAGCCTGTCACTGGCACCTTTGACTTGGAGGTGAACTTGCAGGCGGGTCCACCCTGGGCAGAGGCACAGCACTGAGCCACATCCCCAAACCCTCAGCCCTGGGCTCTGTCAGCAGATCCCCCAGGGGAGCCTGTCGGAGCCCTGATTGCCTTTCCACTCAGGTCAGGTATCCCAGCTCATCTTAGGAGCTGTTGACGCGCTGTCTGTCAGAACCACTCTCAGACCCTATGTGAATAGGTTTCCATTTCCTCTTCTTGCCATCCCTGGGGGCTAATGAATTACATTAAGCTTATTATCTATGATGTGAAGTCGGACTTTCATTCGTCCTAAGCATGGGGATCAGGTTGCCAAGGGACGTCTCACCATCCTTGTCTCTTCCTAATGACCTGGGCATTCCCTCAGACTGCCCTGGTCCGTCACATCTCCCAGTGCTCCATCTTTATGCTGTTGTGTCGTTTCGCCTTCCTGTAGCTGTTCTCACCAGAGTACCCCTCCAACCCACAAAGCTGGATTTGGCCTTTGGGTCAGGAATTCTGGAGGCCTAGAGGTTGCTGTGTGGCTTCTTTATCCTTTTTTTGGCAGGGGAGGAGGAAGAGGTGTAATGCAAACCCACGATCATGAAGCTTGTGCTATACATTGCACTGCTGCCCCAGCCCCTCCCTGGCTGCTGTTTTGTTTTTTTTTTAACTTGGGGCCATACCTGGAAATGCTTAGGAACTACTCCATGCATGGGGGTCACTCCTCACAGGGGACCCCGCAGTGCCCAGGATGGAGCCTGAGCCTCACACACGTGCTTGGCCCTTTGGGCCTTCTCCTTGGCCCTCATACCAGGCTGCTTAAACTTTTAACACCACCTCATTCCACCTGGCCTGCAGCCTCTCCTCCCTGCCAGGATCAGCTACCCTGTAACAAGGCTTTGGTCTTTGTCTTTTAGTTGGCCAAAGTGTGACACTTTCAGGGCTGCCTAGCAAAGTCCTCTGTCCCCTCCTTTGGTTCCCTTCTCCTGTCACTGAACCTGTCATGCTGAATGGGAGAGTATGGGCATTCATCTTGCTGTGGGGTTCCCCTTCTGCCCCTGTGTAGCTGAAGCCATTGGTTTCTGTGCCTCTGATCACTCTGATGCCCGAGGGCCTGTGGACCTTGGAGAATGACATGCTCATCAGCTACACCCTGACCTCCGACTTCCTCAGCAGCCCCTGGGACTGGATTGGATTGTACAAGGTGATGTAGTGGGCGTGGCGGGGAGCACCCCAATGACACCCTCTGCCTTGGCCATTCTGAGTCTCCGGGGAGCCGAGTACAGAAACTGAAAACCTTCCCCCTAGGGGCCCACACTGGGAGTGGTGCTGGAAGGAGTGGGGTGCAAGAAGTCAGGAGGGAAACCCCCCTGTCTTTAGACTGGGTCCAGGCCCCACATCCTCCCAGACCACTCACCAGCCAATTCCCCTTTCACAGGTGGGGCTGCGCGACATTAATGACTATGTGTCCTATATCTGGGTTGGGGACAACCAGGTCTTCTGCAGTGACAGGCTGAACCAGGTACTTGGCCCTTCCTGAGATGAGCACTCCCTGTCCAGCGTGTTTGTTCCTGTCCCTGGGAGGAGCAGAAGGCTAGCTCAGGGTGACCACGGGCTCAGGAGCTGACCCCATTCCTATCTGTCCTCCTCCTCCAGGTCTACATCAACATCAGTGATATCCTGGAGACTGAGGAGCAGTTTCTCCTCTGTTACTACAGCAACAACCTCCGCTCTGTGGTGGGGATAAGCAAACCTTTCAAGGTAAAAGCTGGAGGGGGAAGGGAAAAGGGAGGACAGGACGGGACTCAAGGCCACCATCCATTCCCCTGAGGCCACGGGCATAGCAGCACCGTGGAGCTGCTCCTTTCAGGGAAGGGGAGAGATGGGAAAGCCTGCTTCAGCCCCAGGCATATGCTCACCCACGGTCCTACCCCTGCAGATCCAGCCTTGCGCCTTCATGGGGGCAGACCCGCCTAAGGATGACCAACCACAGAACTGAGCCGGGCAGAGACGGGATCCAGGGCAGAGGCCAGAGCTGGCAGTCATCTCTGCTTCCCACTGCCAGGAGAGCAGGCAGGGCGGGCCCAGCCTGCCCCCTGAGGAGACAGCAAGTAGCCTCCACCTCCCAGCGGCACTCCAACCACTCCTGTGCTCTCTCTCCAGTCCAGATCTCTGGAAATGGCTGCTTAAATATGGGTTTTCATTGCAGAGATGTGCATGAAACCAGCTGGTTTGTCGGCGTGGAAGATCTGGGGATGGCTCACCAGATGTGGGAAGGACCCTCCAGCCTTCAGCTCGTTTCTTGATTTTGCCCACATGTACTTCCAGTCTCACCCCAGCAGGTCTGCCAGGCACATTGCCCCATCTGGCACAGACCTGCATTCTTGGCATGCCATCGGGGCCTGCTGGGAGGGGGAGATGCTCACATTTGCACAGCCTCCATGGGCTGGTTGGTGCCATCTCCACTGGATTCCAAGAGCCTTGGCATCATCTTGTCTCTGCCCCAAGGGGATGGGCAGAGGTTCTGAGGAGGGATTCCTCTTTTCAGGGGAAGCATCTGACTAAGATGGCACAATGGAAGGACCCTCCACCCGAGGCAGGGTTGTGGGCAGGGGGAGGAGTGTCCTGCCAGACCAGCACTGCCCTACCCCATGGAATCTGACCCAGGAAGTTCTGGGACCTAAGACGGGAACTGGACCTAAGTTCACTTCTGCTGGTGGGGCAGGCTTCATGCCTCTAACCTGCCCTCCTATGAAAGTAGTTGGCAGGTGGTAGAGGAATTGTGGTAACAGTCTTTGGCCCCTACAGCTCATCTGCCCCTTCCCTGGCCAGCAGCCAGGAACGGCTTTGCTCTGAACCCTTCTGGGACCCAGAAGTGAGGCAGATGAAGAGAACTGGGGTCAAGACGTTGTAAAGAACATGGCCTGGGTTGGGGGTTGGGTGGGGGTCTTCAGACAACATTCCCCAAGGGTTCTACGGACAGGGTCTGTTCCATCCAGTGATTTGCCTCCAGCCTCTGTTGTCCCTGGCCGTTCTCCCTGGAAAGATGCTCCAGGCTGCCATGCCTGTTCTGTGACCTGAGACGAGGATACTCCCGTTGCTCCGCAGCTCTGTGCCCATGAACTGGAGAACTGTTGTGTGGCTTCCGGTGAGCCATGGCTGCTTGTGACTGTCGCACTGGACAATGCTTGGCAGCACAGCCTTCCCACTGGCTATGGCTGACTCAAGGTGGTGCTGTAAGGGGCACCTGCTGGAAGCCTTTGCTGGACCCCAGGCAGATGAGACTAGACTCATGCCTGAGCAACAGAGAACACCTGGATGGGACAGGAATAAGATTCTGTTTCTGTGTGCTTTTGGGGCTGTATCTGGCAGTGATCGGGAGCTGTTCCTGGCTCTGTGCTCAGGGGACAATGCACAGATGCAGGGCAAGTGCCTTAACCCCTAACTTTCCAGTTCCAGGATAAGGACCTGGAGTTCTGCCTGCCCAGTTGGTCAGTGCCACTTAGCTTACTGTGCTAAGTAGAATGGGTTTCTTGGCACAGGTGCCTACACCGTGCCCACTGGTTCATGCCTCATTACCTGCTGCTCCCTCACATCTGACTCTGAGTCTTGATCCTGAGTTAAACTATCTAAAAATGTTAGCATCTTTTCTCTCTGTTCCACCATCCCCTACAGCCACCACCCTGAAATTCCCACAGTAGCCCCTGGCCTGCCCCCAATATGTCCCCTGAGCCCTCCACCTTTCACCCCTTGTTCCTTCTCACATGTGCAGCTATCACCAAGGCCGCCGCAGGCTCCTTTCATTCAGCAGACAAAAAGGGGGCTGGAGCCCATCACCGGCTCCAGGAAAGCTGAGCTCAGGCAAAGCTTCCTCTGAAGTTGACACAGGCAGCTGTGAACCGGAAAAAGGAATGGGGTCAAGAACTGTGTTGGAATCCGAGTTGCATCTCCCCACCTTGGAGTCTGTTGTCTGCAGATACAAACGATGTACCTCTTTACAAGACTGTTGTGAGAACAGCTGCAAAAATAAAACTACTGTATGCCTACCTTTTCACTCTGAGTTAATTCTGGGGCTGAGTCCTGACACCAGATTCCCCATTTATCCTGCTTATGGTGCATACTTAACTTCCACATGCCCAAGATCTCCCTTTGGGGAGGGTGGGTTTCCCTCAGAGGCTTAGGAGGTCTGGGATGCAGTGCTTTGATGCCAGGGCCTTCTGGGCTGAACCCTGCAATGCTGGGGGACCATGTGATGCCAGGAATAGAATGGGCTTGGCTGCATGTGCTTTAACCTCTGTACTCTGTCCTTGGCCCCTCCCCTTAGTTCTCACATGCCTACCCCTGCCACTCCCTACCTGGAAAGTCATGTCCTACAAGTGACTGAAGGCGGGAAGGGGAAGGGGGAGTGCTCTTCCCTCCTCTGGGCCCCAGTCAGGATATGGCTACTCTGGATCCAGCCCTGACCCGCTGGGTGGAAACAGGAAATATGTGAGACTTGGTGTGCGCTGGGTCTCTGCGCCTGGCTCCACAGCTGATAAGGCCATTGTGTGGCTGCCTGGGATGAGCCGGCCCTGGATAGATGTGCTTCCCAGAGGAAGGAAGGAAGCTTTGCTGGCCTTTCCTGGGCGGGGGAAGGTGTTGAGGGAAGGGAAGGGTGCCTGGGGGAAGAGGCCTGCCCTACTTGTCAAGGTCAGCAGGCCCTCTGGAGGGCAGCCCCTCCTGTGCCAGCCTCTCCCTCTGGAAAGGTCAATTTCCCCTGTCCACTTCCCCCTTCTCATTTCCTATAAGGAATGACTGGAGACTGGAGGCCCAGTTCCAGGCCAGGAAAGTGTCAACTGTGATTTAGCAACAATGAAGATTAAAAAAAAAAACACTGGGAACATTGGATGGGGGTGGGGGGGGGGGAACTACCTGAGATTATTATAGAGTGAGGAGTGGACAGGGCTGAGACTGTCCACAGCCACAGAAACTGGGACCACCTTCCCAAGTGACTAGCTCAGAGGAGGTTGCATTAGAGGCCCTCCTGCCTCGAGCCAACTTCTTCCCAACATGGTTGCCACCCCCAGCCATCCCTAGCCCTGACCCCTCCAATTTAAGGAGTTTGCCTGCTGCTTTTGGAGGAAGCAAAGCTGGGCTGTATGCCAGAGGGGCAATGCCTTCTGGAAGGACCCTGTCAGTTTAGGGGAGAACCATCCGGCTTTTGGATTTGGGTGTGGTTACCGTGTCTCGCAGCCAATACTGAACCAGTGGACTCTAGGAGATGCCGGACTACTGGGAGGAAACTGGCATGCGATGGTCCCCCAGGGTGGCTGCATCAGCTCCTCTGGTTACCTGGGACAACAGGCATTTCCTCCACCCTTGGCCACTCCTCTTCCTGCCCCAACCCGCTAGGCCAAGAGGCCTCCCAATCAGACCTGGGCTGCTCCAGCTGTGTCCTGAGGCACTGGACCAGACATATCCCCTGGGGCTGCAGTGGAAGCTGAACCAAGTGACCATCCCAGCGTGAGACCAGATTCCGGGCTCCAGAGCCAGCAGGCAGGCTTTTGCTCCGAGATCCCTGCATTCCGCAGGCTGGCTACCACGGGGCAGAATGGCGCTGCAAGTGGAGCTGATACCCACCGGGGAGATCATCCGAGTGGTGCATCCCCACAGGCCCTGCAAGCTCGTAAGCTGGGATATTCTGGGCTGGGAGGAAGGGTGGCAGTGCCCCCCGGCCAGGGCCCAGCAACCCCCCACTCAGGCAAATCTGGGTTAAAGATGAGCAGTGGGGAGGCATAGCCTTGGCAGGAGTGAAAGGCAAGGTAAAGACTTCAGGGCTTCTAGGAGCCCTTTCGCAGAGTGGGAATCTCAGTTTGAATCTCCTCTCCTAGAGCTCCCTGCCTCAGTGGGCTGGGCTGTGAACTGGGCATAATCCCTAGGCGACAGGGCTGCTGAGGTGGGCATGGAAAACTCTCGGTGCCCAGAACAGGCTCAATGAATGCCTCCCCTTTATCAACTGATCCAAAGAACAGGACTGGCCAGCTCAAGGCAGTAGCCAGTCAAGAAGGGAGAGAGGAAGTCACAAATGGGGAAGAACTGACCTGCCTGGCGCGCAGAGCAGCGGCGCGCTCGCTCCGGGGATGCACAAAGGGGCCCTAAGATCAGGAGGGCGAACCCCGTCGGACACCTCCACCCACCCTGCATGGCAGCGAGAGGACAGAGAGGACTGGTCCTCTTTGGCCAGAGGAGTGTGTGTGTGTGTGTGTGTGTGTGTGTGTGTGGCCAGAGGAGGGTGTGTGTGTGTGTGTGTGTGTGTGGCCAGAGGAGGGTGTGTGTGTGTGTGTGTGTGTGTGTGTGTGTGTGTGTTTCCGTGCGTGTGACCGTGACCGTGACCGTGGCGCGCCTGGCCCCGGGAGCTGGCTGCGGAGCGCGCGGCACCCAGTCTCCGCGGTCTCCGACCCAGGCCTGGGCCGGACCCGGCGGCCAGGGCGGGGCGGGGCGGGAGGGTGCGCGCGCGCGCCGGGGTCTGAGCCCTGCCCGGGATGACGACAGGCAGCGGCCCGGCCCCGGGCGGGCCCTGGGCGGGGAGAACGAGCCGGGGCCGCCAACTCCGGAGCCGGCCACGCCGCCCAGCCTAGCCCCCGCCCGCGCACCCGAATGAGCCAAGTCGGTGGGTAACGCGGGAGCCGGCGCGGTGCGGGAAACAGCCGCGTGGCCCGGGAGGCCGCGGCTGGCGGGGGGCTGGGGGAAAGGGCAGCCAGCCGGGCGCCAGGCCGGGCCCTGGGCTGCCGCGCGGGAGTCCGGCCGGGGTGGACGGCTCGGGGACCGCGGGGGCCGGGAGCGGGCTCGGCGCACCCGCGCGCGGTCGCAGGACACGGCGATGCTGGGACTCGCCGTGGCAGACACTTGGCTTACTCGTGGCGAGCGTGAGCGCCGGGAGGAGCAGCTGGGGTGGCGGGACCCAGACACCCCGCGCGCCCCTGGGGCGCCCCCGACAGCCCGGCTCGCCTCTGGGTTCCGGAGAAGCCGCCGGGCCCCGCCCCTTCCCGTTCTCCGCCCCCGGCCGGCCGCGCCGCCGCGCCCCGCTTTGCCGGGCAGGGGGCTCGGAAGGGGACGCGGGGAGGAGTGGCCGGTTGGCGGCCTTGCTCAGCTTCGGGCACGCCCCGGGCTCTGCGCGCACCCCGGGGCCCCGCGATTCTTTCGTTGGAGCGGGCGTGCGCCCGGGATTCTGGAGCCCGCACCGGGGGCCGGGCTGGGCGGACGCCGCCCGGGAACGCTCTCCTGGAGAGCCTGACGTGGAAGCGCGCGATTAGAGCGGAACGCGATGAGAAAGGGGCTGTGTGTCGGGGGGCATGGGCCTGGGCTCTGGAGGAGGCGAGGCCTGAGCTGATCTTCAAGGATGACTAAGAGTCAGTCGGGTGGGGAGCAGGGTGTGGGGGAGCCGGGCCGAGCGCGCTTGCAGGTGCAAAGGCGAGAGGCTCTGAGAGCCACGTGCGGCCCAGCTGCGGGGGCGTCGCACCTCCTCCTGGCTGTGTGGCGGTGAAGGAGGGAGAAGGGACTAAGGGGGCTGCCCCAGCACACAGCCACGCTGGAACTGTGGCGACAGGGGGGCACCGAGGGTGCCGCGGAGTGCTAATGCAGGTATGGATGTAAAGTAGGGACCTGACACGTGGAGGTGCCCTGTAAACCCTGTTAATAAGCAGGAGGTGGTAATGGATCCGCTTTGTATGTGTAACTATCACAGGGAAGAAACCGGGGTGACCTGTTAGCAGTGACAGAGGAGCAGAGGGGCGCTTTCAGCTGGTGTGGGAGGGAGGACTTCTTGAGGTGAGGAGGAAGAGGACAAGGCAGGTGTTTTGCTGCCAGGCAGTGATGACTAGTGGAAGTGTCTCCCTCATCTCAACTTTTTTTTTCTTTTTGGGTCACACCCAGAGATGCACAGGGGTTACTCCTGGTTCATGCACTCAGGAGTTACTCCTGGCAGTGCTCGGGGGACCATATGGGATACTGGGAATCGAACCCGGGTCGGCCGCGTGCAAGACAAATGCCCTCCCCGCTGTGCTATCGCTCCAGCCCCTCAACTTTTAAAGGCTATTGAACAAGCAGGAGAGGGTAGGGGCACTGCGCTGTTTTCTGGGTCCCTAGAGAGAAACCGGGAAGACAAATGGCCTTGATTCTGGAGCCCGGCTACAGCCCCTGTCTTGGGCCCTGCATGCAATCAGGTAGCATCATCAGATCTTCTCTTTCCCCCGTATTTCCCTTCCCAGCAATTCCACCGAGCCTGACACAACCCTTGGTGGGACATTCAGAGCCCAGATCTATGATTGTGCACCTGTACTGTGTGTAGCCCTCCTGAGGTAGCCAGTGATTCCTTTCCACTGCCCCGAGACCCAGGCCACCCTCGTGTGAAACCCTTTTATCTGCGTGACCCATGGTCCCTCAGAACACCTGCTCCAACCCTGCACAGGGGTGTTGGAGCTTTGCTTTGTGTTGGGGTCATGGTGGTGCTCAGAGATGCTCCCTGGCAGTGCCCTGGCGCCCATGCAATGGCAGGGACCAAAATGGGAATCAAACTGGCGGCTCTAATGCACCAGTCCTTTGAACTATCTCCCAGCCGAAGGGGGACAGTTAAGGCTGCCGGGTACCTCTCCGCACTCCTCAAAAAGGACCTGCCCAAGCACCTGGTTTCCAGTAAAGACAGCCTATGTCGCCTGGCGCTCTCCTTCCCGGCCTTGGGAGACCCACCAGCCCTGGAGATCCAGACCCCGAGGCGGCCTTGGGAAATAAGTCCTGACTCACTCAGCCCGGAGCTGCCCCCAGCCTGCAGCCAGCGCCTATGCCAGGAGGGGATCCAGCCAGTGTTGGGGGCCCCAAAGCCGCAGTCTGCCTTCTAGCTGCCATTCCCAAAGCCTTCAAGTCAGAAGTCACACAGTACCGGCCGCGGGGTCACCAAGGAAGGTCAGGTCGACCAGTTAACCGGTCCCGAGGAGCTGGGAGATCGGCCAGGCCTGCCCCCCTCAGGCACCCTACAAGGGAGTGGCTGCTGGAGCTCCTTTTCCTAGTCCTG